AGGAGAAAATTGGTAATGCTTGGTCTTTAGTTACAACTTATAATTACAATCTCTACCATACTGTATTTTTATCAATAGATATCAACAGGTACCACAACAAAATGTTAAAGCTGTATCATCATTTATTAAACTCTATATTCGTTGATTTTTTTCTTTCTGGTATATATTACTCTTAAAATATCAATTTCTATACATTTCTTTTCTGACGTGCGGATGATTTATATAATTGAATATCAAATGCAAATGGACTTTTGCCAAAGTTTGCTTCAACTATCTGACCAGGATATCGCAAACCTACCATAGGATAAAACCTGCTTAAGGGAATATTGTTGAAAGCAATACCTAAAAAATATTATCATTTTATTAATAAGTTTGACTACATAAATCAATAATTATAGTATTATATTTGATTTAATAACCTAAGTTTATTCCATTTTTCGTAAAAAAAACTGTTCGCGCATTATAATCAATACAGCAGCCTATTACGTCCCCATTTCCGTAAGTTGTTGAGTATGGTGTACCATAAAATTGTGCATGGAATATATTTCCATTACCATGATATCCATAAGATCCTGGAAACCATCCTATACATTTTTAACTGACGAGATTACTAAAGTTTATGTTATTAATTGTGGCAGCTGAACTGAGATCGGCTGAAGCTGAGGTTTTGAAATATTTTAATATCAAATTTTAAAAATTTTTGGGGCTTTTTTGTCAGCCTTTCTCTTAGAGTTAGGTTAGGGTTTAGGGGTAGTTTTATTAATAAAAGAGTACGGGTGAATTTTAGTAGGTATTATAGATTTAAATAGAGATCCCAATATCAGCTTCAGCCGCCATATTAATTATAATATTAAAAAAATCTCTTTTTTATGAAATGAGTGCTGCCAAGGCAAAACCTATAAGCAAATTTTGAGGTATCAATAAGGCGAGTTTAACCCTGGGAAAATTGTGATATTACGTATTAAATCAGTGTTCTGGTTGTTTTTATATCATGTGCACTTGTCATCATTTAACAAAACTTAGATCCTAAGTCTTATTAAATGACGCAATGATTTAAGTTAAACTCGCCTTATTGATACCTCAAAATTTGTTTACAGGTTTTGCCTTGGCAGCACTCAAATGAACTACCTGGTAGTTGTCTTACTGATGTTCTTGCCGTCCCAAATCCAACTCCTATTTTTCTAAAAGAAATAATAATCACTGTAAAAATTATAAGTGAATTAGGGTTGTGAATGGAGTTCTCCAAACTATAACTAAACATATAAACAACTCGGGTTTAAAAATGGTGTTGTTCATATATTTATTATAGTTTAAAGTACACCATTAGCATCCCAAAATGAATAAACATAGTTATACCCTTCAAAACCGTTATCACATCCATCTTCTATGATATAAATTTCAAAATATCCTACACCCATCGTAGATCGAAATGGGCTATTAGTAATTAATGTCGCTGCATCATCATCGTTTAGACCAGGACCTATAATAATTCGAAAATGGTGTCATTCAAACTATCTTCATTTACACTTTCTCAAATAATTGGAATTTATTAATACCGCTATACATTATTTTTAGATTGTCGTCATAAATTGTTAATTGTCTTGACGCTTTACTTCTACTCCATCTTGTTGGTACCTCAAATTCATAATTGTTACTTGGTGAATACATTTTAAGTAAATTTAAAGGTTGCAGATCAAATTTATGCGTTAAACACGGTAACGGTAACAGTAACGAAACTGACTATCCTGGTGTGGGTAAACATATTTATTTGCGCTGGTATCACAAACCCGAAAAGGAAATCTAACGTAAAAATAAAATCAAGTTACGTGAAAGATATAAGTTTAAGGATTATACATAGCAACCGCATAAAATGTCCGCAGACACGTGATTTTAAACCAATCACGACACAGGATCAGGTGTAAC